GAGCAGGGAGCCCGATGTGGGACTCGATCCCGGGACTCCAGGATCATGACCTGAGCCGAAGGCAGTCGCTTAACCAACTGAGCCACCCAGGCGTCCAAGCGGCATGACTTTTAAGGCCTTACATGGTCTGCCCATTTCATCTCCCACTTCTCTCTTGCTTTCACTGCTTCTGTTGCACTGTCCTAATCTGGCCCCTAGGTCTTTATACTTGATATGCTTTCTGACTGGAACATTCTTTCTTCTGCATCTCCCTTCCTCCACAATACTCTACCTAATAACAAACTATTGCTTCAAATGCCCAATTCAATCATCCCTTCCTCAGAAAAGACTTCCTTAACCTCTTTAACCAGATTAATTCCCTTTGTTGCATACTCCCACAGTCCACCAGGTACCTTTCCTTGATAACACTTTCCAAAGTTGTAATTTTTCATTTTCTTGTCAGCATTTTATTAATGTCTGTCTTCCTTAATAGTGTTTAACTTCCACGAGAGCAATAACAGTTCTATGAGGGTAGTGGCTGTGCTTTTTTTTCCTTGCCACTATATATACAACATGCAGCATAATGCCTGACACATAGTACTGAATAAATATCTGTTAAGTGAACTGAATTCAATGAATGAGTGAATCCTAATTGTACCTCATTAAGTAATGCAATACAGTCTCTTGAATTAATTTAGAAATTTTCTAGTACTTCTGTAAGAAGAAATGGCAATCAGCATTATTTTTTAAACAGTGTTTATGGTGACTAACATAATAAAATAAAATTAAAAAAAATAAAGGCCATAATTCCTTGAAAAAAATAAATAAAATAAATAGTTAAGTTTGGAATGACTGCATAAGAAGTAGCTTAATTTACATTCTATGAATAAAATAGGTGTAGTGAAATCAGTAACATATGAGAAGGGAATATATATGTTGATTGGTGTTTTAAAAATAAATGTATAGTAATTCTGACTTTAAACCTTTATGTATAACTATTGGAAATAATAATTTAAGTGATTTATAATGGAACTCATGTTTGATAATAATTCTCTATAAAATATTTTTCAGAGAAATATTTCAAAATTCCAAATTTAAAGCAACTGATGAGAGATGCAGGCAAAGATCATTAAAGGGAAAGATTAAAAATCATTCTCAGTGTATCTTTATTTCTCGAAATTTTCATACTGGAGGATTCCAATCACAGGTAGTGTATGATATTTTATAGAAATATTTTCAAATAATTTATTTGATACCATGTCATTAACATTGTTTGAAATTGTCATTAACATTTAAATTTGAAAGACAGAGTATCCACTGTTATTTTTAAATTTGAGAGATAGTAATGTGGAGCTAAATTTAAATTACCCAGACTAGTTAGTTTTTATATTATAGGAAACTGAAAAACTAAAAGAAAATGCTTTTGTAGTTGTTTCTCTATATCTCTAGCTTAAGAACCTATATTCCTCAGATGGGGATTATTACAGGGATGAAGATAAATGGCATAAGAAAAACAAAGCAAAATTGCCAGGCCCATCAGAGGAAAGCGATTTGGAAATAAGAGGATACTCAGATAATCAAATAATCTAACAAAACCAACTAACTGAAATTAAGTAAAACTTAACAAGGATTTATTAAGACTTCATTATATTCTAAGCTCTGGGAACCCCCAGTTAAGGATGGTAAGATATGCTAGTGTAGTACAAGTGGGAAAGGAAGACACATAATTAACTTTCTGTTATGTGGTGTCAAAAGAGAGTTATATGGACAAAGTAAAACAAGTGTTATATGGGCAAAGTAAAACCCAGAAATGGATCCACAACTATATGGTCCACTAATTTTCAACAAAGTAGGAAAGAATATACAATGGAAAAAAGATAGTCTCTTCAACAAATGGTGTTGGGAAAACTGGACAGCAACACGCAAAAGAATGAAACTGGACCACTTTCTTACACCATACACAAGTGTTATATGGACAAAGTAAAACAAGGGGGAGATACCAGTAGAAATGTAAAACTATGATATAACTAAACAAAACAAATATTAGTGGTTTATAGCATCATCATTATTATTATAGCATTAATAAATAAATAGCAACAAATTGATAGGATATCAAAGTTTCATTATACATATTGAATATTGAACTCAAATTGAACTCAGTGTTCATTTGTTGAACAAATATTTTTCAAGGGCCTTAAATATGACAACACTAGGTTTGGCACTGAGGCTACATAAACAAATAAGATATGAGTTCAGACCTAGATGAGCCCAAAGTTAGTAGAGAAGAAAAACATATAAGCTAAAAATTACATCATAATGTGGTAAGAGCCACAGAATTGAAGAAGTGCAGACAAGGGAGCATAAATTGAGGAAGGCTTCCCAGAGAAGAAATTTTTAGCTGGATTTTGAGAAAGGAATGTAAGTGTGCCAGGAGGAAAGAGAACAAAGGACATTCATTCTATGTTCAAAGGCTTGCAGCTATGAAAGTAAGTAACATATTCAGTAAAATTGTTACAGTTTTTGGGGCCTAGGGTTCATAGAGAGAAGTGGTGGGGAAAGATCCTGGAGATGGAGTTGTGAGAAACCTCATTTACAGCCTAAGGATTTTGGATTTTACTCCATAGGCTTTACAGATCCACTGGAGGCATTATGGGATTAGGGTCAAGAGCATAGACTGTAGAGCCAGTTGATGCAGGTTAGAATCCTGGCTCTACCACTACTAGCTGTATAATCTTAGGCAAGTTACTTAACTTCTGTGTGTCTGTTTCCTCATCTGCAAAATGAGGATGATTTTATCTCCATAGAATTGTTATGGGAAGTAAATGAATTAGTATGTAAAAAACACTCAGAATCATGCCTGGTCACATAGTGAGCATCATACAAGTTTACCATTATGATTACTGGGGGGTTTTAAGCAGGTGGGCTTAATGATCAAATCAATTCTAAAGATTAATAGTTCTTTCAAATGAAGGGTTGTTTGAAATTGAGATTGCATTGCAGAGAAAAATGTTTCCATGTACGTATTTAGTATTAATTGAATTTACTGAGTACCCAACACATCTAGGCATTTTGCTAGGTACTGTAGTATAATGATGTCTTTATACCTAATGATAGATACAGACATAATGATGTCTTCATACCTAATGATAGATACAGACAGATAATTACAAAAATGTCATGAGTACTATGATGGAAGAAGTACATATATAGTAGTACTGTTTAACTGTTTATTGTTCATTCAGCAAATACCTAATAAAGGCTTATATGCCAGGCACTGTTCTAGGCAACTGGAAATTTGGTAGTGAACAAGGAAGACAAGAGTCCCTATTCCCATGAGATTTATAGTCTAATGGGAGAGATAAATAATACACAAGTAAATATAAAATATTAGCCAGAATTCTTGATAGTGATAGGAACCTAATTCAGAAAAAAAGGTATTATAAAACATAGTATGAAAACATGGTATGAAAAGAATAAGGTAGTGCTGACTTCAGCCACAGTCAGTTTCAGTACAAAAGGATTCTTTTTCATATTGCCCCTCTTTTTCTCATCTCAATTTCTGCCTGTGTAGTGGCCTCTTCCTCACCTCCTAGAGACAGACAGGCAGGAGGATGAAAATTATAACAAAAGATACGGCTTAATATTTAGAACTACAGCTTCATTTCTAAAAAAACGTTTATTGTGAAATACAGCATATAAACAGAAGAGTACCCATAAACAATTTAAAGACTAAGCCCACCACCCAGAATAAGAAATAGAATACTACCAGTACCTTTGAGATGTCCTGAGTCTTCATTTATCTCTTACAGTTTGTACCCCCACCCTTCACAGAAGGACCCATTATCCTGTAATTGCAGTTAACCATTTCTTTGCTTTGCTTTATGGTTTTACCACAAATACTATAGATCCTTGAACAATGTATTATTAAATTTTACATGTTTTTAGACTCCATGTCTAATATACTCTTACCTTTTTGTGCAACATTATGTTTCTGAGATTCATCCAGGTTGGTGCATATACCCATAGTTCATTATAGACTTTTTTATAGTATTCCAATGTATGAACAGATCAAATTTATGTTTTGCAAATAATCCTAAAATTAAAAGACCTCAAATAGCCAAAGCAATCTTGATAAGAACAAAAATGGAGATATCACAATCCCAAATATCAAGATATTCTACAAAGCTGTAGTAATCAAAACAATATGGTAGTGGCACAAAAGCAGACATGTAGATCAATGGAACAGAAGAGAAAACCCAGAAATGGATCCACAACTATATGGTCCACTAATTTTTGACAAAGTAGGAAAGAATATACAATGGAAAAAAGATAGTCTCTTCAACAAATGGTGTTGGGAAAACTGGACAGCAACATGCAAAAGAATGAAACTGGACCACTTTCTTACACCATACACAAAAATAAATTCAAAATGGTTGAAAGACCTAAATGTGAGACAGGAAACCATCAAAATCCTAGAGGAGATCACAGGCAGCAACCTCTTTCACGTTGGCCATAGCAGCTTCTTACTAGACATGTCTCTGGAGGTAAGGGAAACCAAAGCAAAAATGAACTATTGGGACTTCATCAGGATTAAAAACTTCAGTGTCATATCTAAAACCTTTTTCTAATCTAAGATGTAAAGATTTATGCCTATATTTTCTTCTAAGAGTTTTAATAGTTTTAGCTCTTATATTTAAATGTTTAATCTATTTTGAGTTACATTTTGATATGGTGTGAGGTATGGGCCCAACTTCATTCATTTGCATGTACATATCTGGTTGTCCCAACACCATTTGTTGAAAAGACTATTCTTTCCCCAATGATTGTCTTGGAACACTTGTCAAAAATCAATTGACTATGAATGTGAACTTTTATTTCTGGAATGTCAGTTCTATTCCATTGATCTATGTATCTATCCTTATATCAGTACCACATCTTCTTAATTATTGTAGCTTTGAAGTAAGTTTTAATTTCAGGAAGTTCTCCAACTTTTTTTTTTCATGATTGTTTTTGCTATTAAGTTTTACATTTTATATTTCTATCTTTGATCCACTTTTAGTTAATTTTTTTAATAAGGTATGAGGTGTAAGTCAAAATTCATTTTGGGGACTCCTGATGTCTAATTGTTCCAGCACTATTTATCGAAAAGGCTATCCTTTTTACATTGAATTGCTTTTGCAACTTTTGTCAAAAATCTGTTGGAAAAATATGTGTGGGTCTATTTCTGGATCTCTGTCTGTACTGCTGACCTGTGTGTCTATTTCTACCAATACCACACTCTAGCTACATAGTAGGTCATAAAATTGAGCAGTATGGTTCCTCCAATTTCATTTCTTTGTCAATTTTTTTTAGCTTTTATTGTTTTTTTGCCTGTTCATATAAATTTTAAGATAAATTAATCTCTAGCTACAAAAAATCTTTTTGAGATTGTGATGGGAATTACATTTAGTTTATAGATAAGATTGGAGTGAATTGCCATCTTTGGCAATTGATATTTATATTGATCTGTGTTCTGTGACCTTTATAAATAAATTTACTTATTACTTTTAGTAGTTTTTTTTGTGGACTCCATAGGGTTTTCTTCAACACAATCATATCATCTGTGAAAAACATCAATTTTACTTATTTTCTAATCTTTATGCTTTTAATTTTTTATCTTGTTTTACTGGGTAAGGCCTCACGTATAATGATGAATAGAAGTGTCAAGAACAGTTATCCTTTTTATATCCCTCATCTCAGAGAGAATACATTCAACTCTTCACCAGTAAGTAGAAGGTTAACTATGGAATTTTTGTAGATGCATATTGTCAGGTCAAGAAAATTCCCTTCTATTCTTAGTCTGAGAGTTTGTTGTTTCTGTTTTTTTAGTCATGAAGTTTGCTGAATTTTGCCAAATGGTTTTTCTGCATCTTTTGACATTGTTCACATGGATTTTCTCTTTTGTTAGTGTGAATTACATTGAATTTCAAATGTTAAACCAACCTTGTATTCCTGGAATAAACCCACTGGATTTGATTTACTGATATATTTTAAGTCACTTTTGCATCTATTTTCTTGAGGGACATTATAATTTTCTTATCTTATAATATCTTTGTTAGACTTTTTAAAGAATTTATTTATTTGAGAGAGAGAGAGAACAGGAGCAGGGGGAGGAATAGAGGGAGAAGCAGACTCCCCGCTGAGCAGGGAGCCTGATGCCAGGCTCAATCCCAGGACCCCGGGACCATGACCTGAGCTAAAGGAAAACACTTAACAGACTGAGCCACCCAGATACCCCTCTTTGTTGTTAGATTTTAAAATCACAGTTATTCTGGTCACAAAATAGCTATGAAATGTTTCCTGCTCCTCTACTTTTTGAAAAATTTTTGTGTATAATTGGCAATACTGCTTTCTCAAAGGTTTTCCTAGAATTCAGCAATGAGTTCATCTAGGTCTAGAGTTTTCTTCCAGAGAAAGTTTTTGACTATAAATATAGGACCTTTAATAGATATTTAAATGTTTTATTCTGTATGTTTTAGAAATTTATGTTTTTCAATGAATTTGTCCATTTAATCTAAGTTGTTAAGTTTATTGGCATAAAGTTTTTAATAGTATCCACTTATTATCCTTCTAATATCTGTAGAATCTTTAGTGATGGCACTCATTTCATTCCTGATTATATCCTAAATCAGTCTTGCTAGAAATATTCAATTTTATTATTCTTAGACTTTTCTTCTTTTATAATATAAACATCTAATATTTAAATTTTCCTCTAAGCATTGCTTTTGCTGCATCTCACAAATTTTTATGTTTTGTTCTCATCATTGTTCAGTTCAAAATATTTTAAAATGTCCTTTTGTCATCATCCATGATATTGACACTTTTGAAGAATACAGTCAGTTACTTTATAGATCATAGACTCATTTTGACTTTCCTTGTGATCAGATTCATTTTATCACATCTGAAGACATACAATGTTCATCTGCTTTTCACTAATGATTTTAGTTGATCACACATGATGTCTATTCACCCATTGGATTATTCCTGTTTTTACCCTAGCAATTAAATAACCTGTGTGATGACACTTTGAACCAAGTAACCATGAAAATATCTTTCTTCATCAAACTCTACTTACCAGCTATATAAATTATTCTTGCCTGAACTAATCTTTACAAAACTGTAGCAAATAATGTTTTTCTAATTCTACTACTTCCATCTTCCATTTGGCTTTCTACTATAAGAAAAAAGCTCTCTGTCTTTATTATCTGTGTAGACTCATGGGTTTCTGGGTTATTCAGCAGATGATAATCCATTACTATACTTATTTTGATGCCCAAATTTAACCAGTGGGAACCCCTTCAAGGATGTTTCCCTGTCTTTTTTTTTTTTTAAGATTTTTTTTTTTTTATTTATTCATGAGAGACAGAGAGAGAGGCAGAGGCAGAGGGAGAAGCAGGCTCCCTGAAGAGCAGGGAGCCTGATGCAGGACTCGATCCCAGGACCCTGGGATCATGAACTGAGCCGAAGGCAGACGCTTAACCGACTGAGCCACCCAGGCGTCCCCCCTGTCTTTTTTTATATGTCCCTGTCATTTTTTGAGCCCTTACTTCTGGAATTATAGCATCATTTTTAATAGTTGGAAGAATATTGATTGTACTACTATCTATGTATCATAATACATTTAAGTATTTCTTTTAGAATTTTAAGTTGCAGACTTTAAAAATGCTTAACAATGTTGTAAAGAACATTCTGGTAACTGAATATTTACATAAATCCAAAATTATTAACCTGGCATAATACATTTCTAGAAGTAGATTTGTTATATGGCCCTCCAGAAAAATTCTACCTATTTATAAGTAGCAATATGTAAGAATGTTTGTTTTGCTATTCCCTTAAATTTGGGTGGAATTTCAATCAGTCTAGGGCCTTATTCCGTGGTCCCCAGACCAGCAATCTCATCATTACCTGGGCGCATCTGTTAGAAATGCACAATCTCAGACCCCACTCCAGACCTACTGGGTTATAATCTGCATTTGAACAAATTCCCCAGGTAAAATATAGGGACATAAAAGTCTGAGGGGCAGCGTTCTAATATAATTTATATAGGAGTCACAAATTGAATCGGTCCTAAGTCCAGGTAAGCTAAGTCAGGACCCTATACTGGCATTTATATTAATAAAAGGTAAAAGTGACAAATAAGTAAAGTTGATTGTGAAAAAAGTACTTATGTGTTATCCTATATACATATAAGACATATATGAAATATATATATTATATACATAATATATATACACACACATACATACCCTATATATATGTATATCTTAAGCAAACCATTTTGGGGGATAGGACAATGCAGATCAGCATGGAGTACTAACACTGTTCTCCTAAAACACAAGAAGACAATGTTATTATCTCTCAGCCTCATCTTCACCCACTCCATCCCAAACACCCTATGCAGTAGGAAAACCTAATCAGAACCACTTGCAGAGTGTGTTACAATGGATATTCCCAAACCCCTCCCAGAGAATCTGTTTTAGTAGGATCTGATATTATGCCCAAGTATCAGCATTTTAATAAGCACATCAGGTGATTCTGATGCCCTGGAGTTTGAAAACTACTACACCATGACACTTCCCAGAACACATATGGAACATATTGTTTGAGCAACTGTTTTATTTGCTTCAAAAGAATAGCACACTTTTATAAAAGTCTTCAGCCAGAATTCACTTTTTTGTTGTTGTTGGTTAATGAAATGAGTAAGTCTAGGAATTCTAACTACTTTTTTAGACCTCTCTAGTTCTAATCAAGTGACTCTGAGTTAGTGAGGAGGGGGAGAAATAATCCTTATGAACTCTATTTCACCCTTTCATTCCCTATCCTGAGACTGCCTTCTTGAACCAATTCACATTCTTTCCAGATGAGACCTAAACACTTTTTTTTTCTGTCAGTATATTTTGGTGAAATAAACTCATCGTGGAAAAAAAATTCCATCAAAAACTTATTATGAAGTTAAAATATATTATTCTTATATAAATATACATTAAATATATTAAACAAATTACATAGAAACATTCAGTTTTTTAAATACAAATAACTTTTTTTATATAGGAGGAGCAAAGAAAAAAGGAAACAGCACATATAAAAGGTAATTTTTCTCAACAATTTATTAGAAGAAATCATAATCAACTTAAAGCAATTTGCATCTTAAAGAACCAAGAGGCCTACCTAAATGCTATCTAAATATTATTTTAATATTATGGAAATTCAAGGGAAACAGTAATGTATTAGTATGTGCGTGGGCATATATTTCTTAAAAAACAAGACTTGCAATGTCGCATCTTAAATTAAAATGTGAAATTTAAATTTTTGTTCCTTATTTATACCCAAAAGTATCATTGTCAGGGGCACCTTGGTAGTTCAGTGGGTTAAGCATCCAATTCTTGATTTCAGTTCACGTCATGATCTCAGGGTTGTGAGATCAAGCCTGGCGTAGGGCTCCACGCTGGGCATGTAGCGTGTTTAAATTCTCTCTTTCTCCCTCCACTCATCCTCTCCCTCTCTCTCTCCCCATCTCTTAAAAAAAAAAAACAAAAACAGAAGAAGTATCATAGTCAATGCCATATGGTAATCCTAGAGGGTCAAAAGACATGGGTATTTTATAATCCTTTAGATACTGCACATGATGTCTTAGTACCTCAAAACATTACCGTCCTACATAATATAAGAAATGTTGGATATATAAAATATAATAAGGTATTTAAAACAGCTTTAAAAATTAATGTTGTACTTTAATTTCAGAAGTCAATATGTTAAAAAAAAGTCAATATGTAAAATATTATAAAAGGTCCTTAGGATACTATATAGTGTGATATTTTCTAAAACTTAACATTTTTAAATATCAACTGTGCCGCATAAATAATGTAATAATTGGAGAAGCATGAATCTTAGAGTACTAGAAGTCTAGGTGAAGTCTGTTGTGTATCTGATTTGTGGTGAGTCATCCATCTCTAAATCTCAGTCTTCTCCTTTATGAAGTGGTTCTAATAATAACCTCCTTGAAAAATTATTTACAGGATAAATGAGATATGGAAATATATCAGACTGCTTTGCATATTGTAAGGCACTCTAGGAATATTAGTTGTTATTTTAATTGGTGTAAAGCCAACCCATAGGCCCTTCCCTCTGTGGACCAAACATTTTGTAATCTGCCTGCTTACAGAGGCATGTATTTTTTTAATTTATTTTTTAAAAATCAGGCAATACTTATCTATAAATATTTAAGAAACTATGTTTTCTGATATTAAGGGACATTCCAGAACTGAGCCTTCTAGCCTATTTAAAATCTCCTATTAAAGCAGATTGATTTTATTTAGAATAGCCTTTTCTATTCTTCATCATTGTGAAATTGTTAATCCCCAGTTACATATTTAACATCGCACAGATGATGATAGCAACTCAGAATTTTCACTATTGCATCCTCCTGTCCATTTTAACCCTAAAAAGTCTGAATTTGAAAAAGAAATATTGTCCTTATAAGTAAGATTTGGCTGATGAATATGTAATATTCATAGTAAATCTAATTTTCTTTTACAGTAATAAAAGATCACTCTAAAGATGAATTCTGCCTTGCAACAAAAAAGGTCATTTGTGACCCCTCAGAGACTAGCTTGGCAACACATCCCAGCAGTGTTACCTTAAGCTTATCAACACTACCATCTGATTCTTATTACAGCCAAAGTATAGAAGCAGCTGATGACTGGTTTTCTGATGATACTCTAGCAAAAAAGAGCTCTCCAATTCCTTTTCTCAGGGAACCTCTAATGGAAAAAGTACTTTCATACCTGTCAACAATTTCATTAGAAGATTGTACTGAAAATGTACTGAACATGACACTTTATGATGATCAGAAAGATGACAGCATTAAGGAAATATTTTCACGAAGAAATACAGAGGTTGAAATACAAAACCTTCAACATAATATTGAATGACTTTTTTCTTTTGAAACATTGTATATACTGAAGTGATGGAAAGTTAAAACTGAATTACCAGCTTCTGAGGCTCTTAACATGTCCATACTATTACTTGTTCGTTACCATAGAGTGGTCCTACTTCCCTTGCCAATTCTTATTTCTAGAAACAAAATTACAGGAAGCAGTAGAGTGACATCATGAACATTAAGCTTAACTCCTTGTATCTCATCCAAGGACATAATAAATAATATGAATGTATTTCAGCATACAAGAGAAATACTTTAAGAAATCTTCAGCACAAATAGACTTTTGAATAAAACTTTGACAGCATTTCCTTATACTTCTGACATTTTCAATTTTATTTCAATATGGGTAGGGCTGGGCAGAATATTTCCATCAGCTTTTCTGAATTTTAAATACATAAATTTCCTATCATTCAAATTTTATTTTGTCATGATTTTGGTAAACAATATAATTTTGCTCTTCTAGGGGAGCCTGGAACACTGAAGAATCCAGAAAATAATTTTCTTTGCCCTTTCCTATGTCTGCTTCTCAGAATGGTTTCCCAGTCCTTACTCCACTATGATGGAAATGTTGGCAGCTATGTTCTTAAGCAGCTGATTCAAGCTAGATGAATCAGAGTTCCTCTCTAATCTGAGAAATCCTTTTTTTTTCTTTTTTACATATTTTTATCATTTTATTAGGAATAATTCCAAATGGGTTATGAAGGAAATTTACTGAGTTTGATGAGTTTTCCAAAACCTCTTAATGAAGATAATCTGAGAGACCCTTGGTCAGATTTCTGTGTTTGGTCCTGAGGAATTTCTGAAATCCACCATGTAATTAATTTTTTTTCCCCTTTCTCCTAAATACTCTCCATGTAATCAGTCTCTCCTTTTCTTTCTTTCTTGGAAAATGATTAAATATAATATTAATTTTTGTGCTTAAGTTACTCATGCCAGCATTTGTGCTTATCTTCCCAAGAGATAAATCATACCTATTACAATAAATGAAAAAAAATTTGTCTCAATTAAGATAGTAGCATTACCCATGTCTATTGATTCTGTCCCATGGGAAATATTAAAAAAGATTAGAACACCTCTCTCTTCTGAACCACCTCATTATTTCTACTAGTTACTGGTTGTGAGAACATCTCTCTAATATCCACTCCCACATCTAAATAAGCTATTTGAACTTAGGGTCTGTAAGGAACAGCATATATATAAATTGTTCTCTGTCTCTTGGCGTCCCAGAGTCCGTCTTCCTATCCCAGAAAAGTCATCTCTAATTTGGTAAGATCTTAAAACTTTCCTAGAAATTTGGGATTGAAGATAAGAGAGTCTAGCTTTGATCTGATTAGTCTCTGGAATAGAGGAAACAAACTTGGGAGCTATGGGCTGCCATGTCCCACCTTGTGGTTTGGGAAGGAAAAATAGTAAATCTGCAGTGAGAGAGCAGTGAAGCACTTGCAAAGTAAAAAGCTGAGATGAGAGATCAGGAGAATGTGATTCCTGCTTTCTAATAGTCCTCCATTTCCTTGTTCCAGCCCTTCATGAAGCCTGCCCTTGGCTTGGTATGGCACCCTTGTATCCTAATAATAAATCCCCCTGTTTGATTAAGCTAGCAAAATTTGATATTTATTAGTGTCCTGTTTTAAACTGTTGTTTAACTGTTGGTAAGGTACCCTTGTAATTTTATAATAAATTATCCTTTCTGCATAAAGTAGAAAGAGTTTTTTTCTGCTACTACGACCAAAGCATCCTTTTTTTTTTTTTAAGATTTTACTTATTTATTTGAGAGAGAGAATGAGAGACAGAGAGCATAGGAGGGAGGAGGGTCAGAGGGAGAAGCAAACTCCCTGCCGAGCAGGGAGCCCGATGCGGGACTCGATCCCGGGACTCCAGGATCATGACCTGAGCCGAAGGCAGTCACTTAACCAACTGAGCCACCCAGGCGCCCCCGACCAAAGCATCCTAACCAAATGTTTGTCATTACAAATGAGAAATAAAGAGATCTATGCATATAAAGTAATTGTTATATTATCATAGAATAGATTGAATTTATTTCTCAAAACCTAACACATTTACTTGTTTATGAAAATGTTATTCTATATCATAGCTGTATAATTGTTCTCTTTGAAAAGACTAATGAGCAGTACACATGAAATTAAACCAGTCTAAAATAATCTTATTTTCAAGAACTGTGAAGGATCTGAGATTTCACCATTCATGCCCTCTGACAAGTTAGCCTTCAATAGTTTTGTGTCTCTTGGGTCAGTGACAAAGGACAGTTTATTATTCATAGCAGTAGCAAGGGTAGCTTTTGAAAGAGGCTGACATCCACAGAATGGATTATCTTGTCCACTTAATTATTAACATTTCTTCTGATATTGCTCTTTGGGGAACATTTACTTGAGACTCACTTATATTCATATTCTGTACCCATTCAGAGAAACTTACCTATATATATCATTCCTAGACTCCTTGTCACTAATTTCCAATTGTATTCCTTACAAGTCCCCAACCATTCAGCCAAACCATTACCCACTGCCAGTGAATCAGTAAAAATCTATATCTTGGAACATTTATCCTTCCAGGCTATACAGCTAGGTCACTGCTCAAAGTTATGCTTACTGAAATTTTCACCACTGCCTATCAAGGCCATACATGAGCAGGGCTCTGGTACTCCAGCTGTGAACTTTGAGATGATGCTGGCATATCATGTAGAACTGTCTGAAAATCAGGCTCAAGTATTTTTTTTCTCAGTCAAATGATGGTAAGTAACTCTACTTGATGCCACAGGTATGTGGTGAAAGAGAGAAGACCATGTAGCTGGAGTAAGAACCATGGGTATTTAACCATTTTCTTATGCAGTTTCTTTGTGCTTTAAGAATCTGCTCAAATGCAATTTTATATATCCTAATGGCATTTGTAATTGAGTGCAGATCTGCATGCCTAATTTTATGTCTTAGCAAATCAGACAACACCAATTCATGGTGAACAGTTGAACTCAAAGGTAAGTTGGTGGCCATGGTCACATGTTAAGTCCCTACTAGTCTAATAGTAAGCCAGAGGACGTTCCAAAAGAATAATTATTGGCAGGTGATAACATGGCTTTGTTTAGAATCCTGTAGACTCTTGTTAACCTAGGGTTGCCTGCTAAAGTCTCCATAGAGTATATCTTTTTGCTACAAACACTTCACATAGCATGGATCTGCTATGTGGCAGAACAACTAACTTAGCAGCCTGTATCTGTTGCAGAGCTTTCTATTCTTCCAGGCCATACTCAGAACTGGAACCTCTTTCAGGTTACTCAGTAAGTGGGTCCAAGTAGCACATCCAAATGAAGTATATGTTACCTTCAATATCCAAAGGAGCCCACTATGCATTGTGCCTCTTTCTTAGTGGTTGGAGGTATCCAATGCAGCAACTAGTCTTTCACCTTGGAAGGGATATCCGGACATGCTCCAGACCACTGGATGCTTAGTAATTTTACTGAAGCAGCAGGTCCTTGAATTTTGTAGAATTTATTTCCACCCTCTGGCATGCATATATCTTACCAAATTATCTAGGGTAGTTACTGATGCTTGTTCACCATGTCCAGTAAGCATGATATCACAAATGTCCTGTGGTGTCCATTTGTAGGGAATGAAGATTAAGGCCCATTTATACTAGATTATGACAGAGAGCTAGAGAGATAATCTAGCCCTGCAGTAGAACAGTGAAGGTGTTAGTGCTGACCCTTAGAGATGAAATAAAACTGCATCTTGTGGTCCATGCTAACAAGAATAAAGAAAAAAAGTATTTGCTGGAGGAATAGGTGAATAGCATATACAAGAGAAAGTATTGATTTGCTCCACCAATGAAGCAACACCAGGAACAGTAGCTATAATTAGAGGGACTACCTGATTAAGTAGTTTGGAACAATCCATTTTCATTTTCTAAGATTTATCTGTCTTCTGCACAGGCCAAATAGGCAACTTGAAAAGAGATATGGTAAGAATCACCACTCCTGAATCTTTCGAGTGGCATTAATCTGTAATCTCTCTATGTGTATTGCTTTTGGTTTATTATTTTGGGAGGAGGAAGCAGTTCTAGTGGCTTCCACTTGGTTTTTGCTACCGTACTAGCCCTCATTCTATGGGTTAGGGAACCAGTGTGGAGATTTTGCCATTTGCTAAGTATGCCTATTCCAATTACGCTTTCTAGGACTGGAGGAAATAACCACAGGTTTGGTTTGGAACCCACTAGGCTCACTGAGATGGACCAATCTGAAACTACATTAATGACCTCACCTCCATAGGCCCCTATTTTGACTAGGGGACCACTGTGACATTTCAGATCTCCAGGAATTAGTGTCAGTTCACAGCCAGTATCTGGTAATCTATTTTTTAAATCTGGGTATTTCCCTTAGCTCAATGCACTCTCACACTGGCAAATGGCTGCAAATATTTGGGGGGAAGTGTAGGAGGAAGATTTACTATGTAATAAAATTTGCAATGTAAATTTTTAGCAAAGCAGCTGGGCCTTTCCTCAAAGGCCATCTTTTATCTAAAAGGCTCTGAGCCTGAGAACTAGCTCAAATCTGGGAACTGGTTGAGGAACCACATCTCTATATGGTGATGATTCAAGTTAGAGCTATTTGTCAGTCTTAGAGCTTTTTCTCTTAAATCAAGTAAGCTTGTATAGGTTAAATCTGTCTGCACTGTGGTAGACAATAACTGAAGTATCTGCTTGGTTCTTTCAGCTCTCCAGCTGTTGTTTTGCCCCAGGATACCTTGGATTTTCACCTATGCATGTAATAGTTCAAGAGTGAGCCATGGCAGAAGAACTGAAGAGAAATTTTTCCAAAGAAGACATACAAATAGCCAACAGGTGCTCAAAGTCACTAATCATCAGGGAAATGCAAATCAAAGCCACAAGATGTCACAGATGTCACCTCACACCTGTGAGAATGGCTAAAATAAAAAACACAAGAAACAACAAGTATTGGCAAGGATGTGGAGAAAAGGGAATCCT